ATTCTGTTTCTACATGTTGCCAATTTACTTCAGTGAGGAGTTGCAGTCTTTTATTTATCCCAAATTAGGAAATTATTCTGCTGTGTTTGCAGTTTTAGTTGCACTAAGCATTACAGTTGCACGTGTATTCAAAACAAACCATTATTAATTTGCCAAGAAACATTAAGCATTCAGTTTGTAGCACCAACATGTTCATTGCTGGGCAGTGAGAGTAAATGCTTTTAACCATATTTGTGTTTGTCGTCAGTATTTCCGCCACTAAGGTGTTCCTGAAGTGGGTCAGCTTGTTGTTTTATTAAAAGCCTGTATTGTTTTTTGACCCAGGTCAAAGAAATGCACTGTTCTGGGAATGTTGTAACATGAGCACAATCCAAGACAATCACTTAAAGGTGTACCAAGAAGACCACGAAGTCATAACCGTGACCATCTTGTTAAATGGGTAATTTGAAGAGCGTTGAAAGAAATCAATATAAAGTGCTGTGTCCTTACTATACACGTCTCACATTTCCCAAATCGTGAAGGTCTTGGCTTTATTTTCACTGAAAAAGGCTTGTGCTTACAATGCAGAAGTACAAACTGATGACTCGTATATAGTAACCACGTAAACATTTCCTTTAAAACATTTGGTAAGGGAATCACACTCCTGTTTTTATTTTGGCCCTCAGGTGTTTATAGTCGTTCTGTTGATAGGTTCAGAACTTTAATCTTGGTGCCGTCCAAAAGAACAGACGTCCATATCAGAGTCATCTCACAAACACACGCACAGTTCAGACTGTAGCCGTCACTCTGAAATCAAAATGGAGAATGATAGAAACAGTCTTTCCCTGCCAACATGACTCTCACTGCTGCTGACTCCACAACAGTAGCTCACTTCCCTCTTTCTCCTCTCTGAACACCACATGTATCGCCCGGTCAGAAGAAATAAACACTTGGCCATTTTGGCTCTGCTTCTTACAGAAAATCTCACCAAAGAGTTTACATGTCTTTCCCTCTCACATCCCATCCAACATCAAAGGCAGTGATATGAGCTAATAAGCCTGACTTTCTTTCAAAGGCCCACATTGGTACTGTGGAAAACTGGATTTATCTGCTGGTTATGTCTCACTTATCGAGGATTAAAAATAAGTTATATTCCCAACTGACAATAATTCGATGCGCCTGATTCTCACTGCTTCTATCTTTTCAGTCTGTTGTGGATCAATATTGTTTGAAACATTGAGTTGTGTTTCCGCCAAGGAGGTTTTGTTTTCACTTAGGTGAGTTTGTCTGTTTCTTACTAGGTTTACGGAAAAACTACTTGCAAGATTGTAGTTAAACTTGTTGGAGGGATCGAGCTTTAGCCAAGGAAGTAGCCAATAGTTCTGGAGTGAATCCGAATCATAGGGTTACTCAATTTTTGCGAGATACGATATTTGGCTTAGGAGGTCTGTGCTCTCCATCTGCCTTTTATAGTTATATGAGAATACCTTGGTTTAGTTATAGCAGCTGCAGACAGTGTTGTAATGCTTATAAAGGATGCAGATTTGTTAATGCCATTTTAGGATCTGTTTTATGGCTTTGCTGAGAGGCCTCTGAGGGTTTTAATGTAGATCAGGGGTTCCCAAGATCACGTGTTACTGCCGGGCCCCAAAATAGCTGTGAGTTTATCGTAATATTTGCAGAATTATAAATATATAAAAATATTTTATCATAATATTTTTTTCAAAAAGTGTTTAATTTTTGCACCTGTCATATTATTTCATCCAAATATAGCCTGGTTAAACTTTCACTAGAAAACTGTTAAAAATGGCTTTTATGATGTTCCGAGGGATTCGGCGGATCCTGTATAGAGCCTCAGCCTGGTCTCAGCCTCTCGTGCGCACGAGAAAGTTACCGGTGCGCCAAGTAGGAAGAGGAGCGCACAGGAGACAACTGTTTAATTGCAGACTGTTATGTTTATGTGGGGAAATGGCAGTGCATACATTATTTGAGATATATTTCAAACTCGGACTTCATTTTAAGGACATGTCGGCCAGGGGTGTAGAGCTATTTGTTTAAGCACCGGATTTGCAAAACAGGAGAGTATGTAAACCAGTCTGCCTTGATCTATGAATTCATGTCCGGGACTCTCACGGTATCTGCTGCCCCGCAGCTGTTTTATAAAAGGAAAACCTCCTTCACTTCATGAAATGGCTGCAGCATCAGGAGGCAGCGGGACGTGTAACTCCGCTTCTGAGAAGTAAAGCACCAGCGGGTAAAGATGTGCCTTTTTACGCACCGCCTTCGCTGTGTTTACCTTCATCAGAACAGCTTAAGAGAACAGGCTGCTACGTATTAACCACACACACCTCTACACACATCGAACTGCCCGATTACTCCCCCTTTTATTAGTTTTATGAAGGAGATGTCCGGTCACCAAGGCGCATGATGTGTGTGTGTGTGTGTGCTCTGCTCAAATCAGCTCTGTGTGTTCGGTGTGTTTGTGTCTGTCCGACACCGGCATTTGTTTTCAAATGATCATGAACAGTAATTTACACACATCTGGCTAACTCCATAGGTAGCCTATATGCGAGTGTTCCCATAATAAATTAGTTTAATCTTAATCTCGATGTAGTGCTAAATGCTGTCGGACGTGCACCGGAACGAACCTCACTATCATAATATCTTCTGAAAACAAATGCCAGTCACACACACACACACACACACACACACACACACACACACACACACACACACACACACACACATCCTTCATGATGCGCCTTCTCCTTGTTTTCCCAGCATTCACTGGATTATCCGTAAATCATACAAACAAAACCAAAACGTTGATTTATCTGTTTTCCCGTTTTGGTTTAAAAACTGAATAACGTCGGTTTTTTGGTTTTCCATTATTCCGAAAAACCAAAAAACGACACCGGTTCTTTTTTAAACATTAATATATTTTGGATGCATATTGTTATTTGTTCAGGCTGTTACATACAATTAGCCTCTGTTGCTACCTGCTGGTGGTGAGTACATTTTAAAATCAGTTAAAATTGACAACCGGTCCGCGATTTTTTTGTAATGTATCTGCCGGTCCTTGGCACAATAAAGGTTGGGAACCCCTGATGTAGATCACAGAGGCTATGAATGAGGCCTTGTTTTAAACTAATGACCCTGCCCCAGTTGACGTTTCGCTCAGCAGATAAAAAATGTATTGTGGACTGGAATGTGTGTGTCCCACAATATTTAGTATTATCCATTGTGTGTCATTGGATTGGCATTGCTCTCGCCCACATTTCAGCATTCACACCCTTACCTTCAGGTTGCATCCTTTGTTCAGTGCTTCACAGAGTCTATATTTGACTTCGGCTTCGTTTCATTTGTTATCACATTTACTGTAAAAACACAGTAATGACACCCATTGTCATATTGATCAATCTGATATTATACACAGACAGGATAAACCAGTTGAAGTTGTGATTCTGATATTGTCTAACCATTGCCCTGTGTCTCCCTTTTGTCCGTCTCCAACACTGTGCTGCCTTTGTGTCACAGACGAAGAAGTCTCCCATTTGTTGCGTCATCACGAGCGGGCGGATCAGGCATTTCAAAATGTCAGAGTAGGAGTTCTCCCTAATAATGATCTACACTTTGTGTGAGATTATACATATGTGGCAGTGCATTTCTTATATTAATGAGATGGCCCTCTGGCCTCTTATATAACTTGCTAGGATATTAGGATGATAATTAAGGACATTATAAAGACTTTTTTTATATGAAACCAGGAGAGCCAGTTGGCAGCAATGAAAATCCTTTGATGTTTTCCAGATAACACAGAGAGAATTTGCCATGTGTGTGTGTGTGTGTGTCCTAGCATTACTATACTTGTGGGGACCTACATCTGTTTACACCGTCACGTGTGGGGACTGGCCTCCCTTATGGGGACAAATTGGAGGTCCCCATAAGGGGAGTCATTCATTTTAGGGTGAAGACTTGGTTAGGTTTAGGGTAAGGTTAAGGGTTAGGGTTAGGCATGTTATGGTTAAGGTTAGGATAAGTCTCCAGGAAATGCATGTAAGTCAATGTAATGTCCCCTGAAGTGATCTTCTAAACGGCAGTAGTCAACGTTTGCTTTGTATTTTTTATTGTTAAATAATTAATATATGCTGTAACTAGTCATTCTCATATAAAAGTCATTACTGAACAGACTGTACTTGGTTATTAAGCATACAGGCACATTGTCTGTGAAGGCCAATACAATCAGATCAAAGGTAATGAGACTGCCAGAATGTCAGTAGTTAAAGTTTTTACGCTTAAAAAGGACTGTCGTTTTTAGGGCTTCACGAAAAAGCCCCCTGTTAGACATAAAACAAATGTCATTATGTAAACCAGGTCTTGCATAAAGAGCTTATAGTAGAAGTTGCAGAAGACTTTTTGAAACCAATCTTTGTAAAACATAAAAGACAACTAGAGCAGTAAAAAATGAAAAGTACGAGCAGCTCTATTCCCCTCAGAAGTTCCAGTGTAGGTGTGTATACATTTGCATGAAAGATTACCTCCAGGTAACTGCCGAGTTTACTCATCCAAATGTTCCAGCTTTGCAGATAAACCTCCACTCTGTTTATTGCTTTTGTTTGAGGTGATGGAGTGCAGGGTTCCCTCAGGGTAGCTGTGTCATTAACTCTCCGTGATGACTGTGTGTTTAGCTCTGCAGTGTTTCTGATGGGCCGGATAATCGAGGAGATGCAGCTCTAATGTGCAGCAGGCAGCGCTGTGATGGATATAGTTTCTTTGCAGGAGCATAAGGATTAAATGAACAGCAAAGCAGCTTGGACAAAATAGCACATCACAAGCTTTTCCTTTTGATTTGGTACTTGCTTCATACTGGTTCAAGAGACTGGACTTGACTTGCTAACCAGAGATTTTTTTATTTTTCTGATATAACATGCTTCTTTCGGGATAAAACATCTCAAAGTTTTAAACCCTTATGTACAGAGTTGAATGGTGAATTCTTATACTTCACATTCTCTCTTCTTCAGGGTCTAACTACGTGATGTCTAACGGGGGCGGGGCACCCAGCAGCACCACCCACCTGTTGGACTTCCTAGAGGAGCCCATCCCTGGTGTGGGGACCTACGACGACTTCCACACCATCGACTGGGTCCGAGAGAAGTGCAAGGACCGCGAGAGGCACCGGAAGGTGAGGAGACTGGGGCTAGCTAAAAATAAAACTATTTAAAAACGTTTTAAAGTCTCAGAACGCTTCAAACACGCTACGCTTTTGAGGACTTTTCATATAAACAACTGAATGCAACACTAACACGTCTTCCTGAAAACGGTGCTGTTATCCCTGTACTTCAACAATATTGTGTCGTCCCCCCTTTCTATGAGGGCAAGGCAAGTTTATTTATATAGCACTTTTCAACACAAGGCAATTCAAAGTGCTTTCAAAGGGTAAGCTTTTTACTTAGCTTTCAAGTGTGGCAGTTTGTAACAACTATACAAACTTTTGATTTGTGCCATGGTTAGAGAACACATTTAAAAACGACTTTATTTTATAATATAACCCTGCCTTTAAGCAGTCCAATAAGCACTTTTACTAAAGGATACTGCAGCCTTTAGTCTTAAAACAGGACCAGAATATCGAAGGGATTTCACTGCTCAGACTGAGTGTTAATAGAAAGTTAAATTGATACAGCACTCACAAGCATCCTCATAGATGAGCCTATTTTCATTTATGTAACCTGCTTAGCTGTTGTCAGCAAAAATTGCTATGCCGCACAGGAAGTGATGTTTAACACACTTCCTGTGTTGCAAAAATGCGTTTTGATGACACAACAGAACAACTGGGTAATAAGAATCAGCTTTTTTTTTAGAATAGATGGCTGAAACTATATCAACAAGATCTCCAAATGAAATCTTTAAAAAAAAGAATAATGCCAAATAAATGTATGATCTTCTGTTTCAAAACCGTTAATATTTCCACAACTTGTTAGATATTGAAATAATCTTGTTTGACATAAACAAGTCTCATGTTCCTCCTAGTAGCTTTAAACAACCTCTCACAGTCTTCATTAGCATAAACTCATGAATGAACCGGCGTGGAGGGAGACACAATGGACTGTCGGCTTCCTGCCCTTTATCTGCGGTCAGCGATACTGCCTTTCTGTAAACACTTTTATGCAAATATTGAACCAGCACTTCAGCCCGCTTTCCAGAAGTGATTTAGTGCAGGATAACTCTGAGAATTTGAATGATGACACAAACTGGCTTCCATGAATTCATTGTTTTATTGAAGCATAAAACCCCGGCACTAGAGTAGATAATTGAACCGCATCATGATGTTGCAGTCATAAACCTTTGACCTACTTGCATTACTGCCAGTTTAAGTCAATTTGTTTAAAAGGGCCCTTATTATGCTCACTGCAGCACCTCTTTTCACCTCTGTCTGGAACCTATCACTTACAATGTGTTGGAGCGCTAGACAATAGAATTGCAAGTGTGACATAGTGACGTCATTATGGTACAGAAGCAGTGGCGGATTTAGGATTGTAGGATTGTAGTTGTTGAGCGGGGGGGGGGGGGGGGGGTGCTAATGGAGCACTTTCATGAACTGTGGACTCGCCGGAGCCTTGCAGCGGGGGTAGTACTGTCCCGCAGCTGCTGCCTCTCTGTTGGACTCCGGTACTGCACATTACTCACGGGACGTTTCTCTGTGAAACATTTGGGGCTTTTCAGAAAACATCCGGGGCTTGAGCCCAACTAGCCACCCCCTAGCTCCGCCACTGTACAGAAGTAAACAAAGGAGTCCAATGGAGGCGTTTCAGGCAGGGGGGGGAGAGTGTGTGGGAGAGACACTTCCTTCCGAAGGAACACAGGGATGTTGCAACGCAAACATTTTCCAAATTGGGATCAATAAAGTCTTATATTATCTTTATAACACACTACAGGAAAGAGAAGACCCCAAAAAGTATAATTATTATTATTGTGTTTTTAGATCAACAGTAAGAAAAAGGATTCGGCATGGGAGTTCACAAAGAGCCTGTACGACGCCTGGTCCGGGTGGCTGGTGGTGACGCTCACTGGCTTGGCCTCAGGTAGCACTAATGCACACATACACACACTATACACACACTATACACACACACACTATACACACACATCGCTGTATCTCCTCTGCTGATGACTCTCACATGCTTTGCCTCAGGCAGCTCTCTTTCTCTTGGTCGCTCTCCATCTTTTGCTGTCATTTAACCACAAACACAAGCATTCTCGTTCCCCTGCATGAGCCTCAGCAGACACGTTAATCTACACAAAGTATTGGGTACCACTTTACAATAAGACTACCCTTATAACGGATTCATAAAGGGTTATGAATTAGGTTATGAATTAGTAAACACCCTATTAATCATTAAGAACCATTTATAAACCAGTTCTAACATAGTTTTCATAAGTCAACACAGGCTCACTATTTGGCAAGATGACTAAGCCTTTCTTGGCATCCCTTTATGACCATTTATTTATGAGTTACTAACATTTATAGTTGCCAAAAGGGAGCCTTATTGTAAAGTGGGAAACAAATCCCCATGTAGTAATGAGTTACTACCGTTATTAATGAGGCAGTACAGATACATGTGGGCTCACTATTTGGCAAGCAACCGGTTACAGTTGCCCTGTTTATCTCATGTCTTATAAAAGCTTATTCATGATTTATGAAGTGTTCACAACCTAATTAATAAATGAATTACAAACTATTCGTAAATAAGGGTAGTCTTATTGTAAAGTGGTACCAAGTATTTAAACCTCTGTGATCATCACCTTGTGGAGCAGATTCTGTCAAATGTATTTTAGATCCAGGTTAAAAATGAAGGGAAAAGTGCTAAATATGCCACAGTTTAAAGTAGGGCTGTGCAATTAATCGTATTTTAATCTCGATTACGATTTTGGCTTGCAACGATTACGAAAACAACGTAATCGAAATAAATCGATTATTATTTGTATTTATAAAAAATCAAAAAATTCATTTTTTTTTTCAGTTGAATTATATTTAAAGTTCAAGGTAATCAACTGTTAAAAACATACTGTTCACAATAGTTGTTTTCAAAGTAAATGGATAATCGTTTTTAATAATTGTGATATCAATTATTGACAAATAATCGTGATTATGATTTTTGCCATAATCGCACAGCCCTACTTTAAAGTTTACCCCCAATATTTGGATTTAAAACATAAAAGGTCTGGGGTACTGATGTACATGTGTATGACTTGAATGAGCCAGTGACACTGTGGTCTGACCTGGAACATGTGAACATTGCTTTAAAACTTGACAACAGAATATTTATTAAAATAATGTATGATGATATATTTTTAGATATTTTTGTAATTTCTTTCTATACAGCGACTTTTATCGACTTGCGTCCACTTCACTGTTTCTCAACATGCTATAAAATAGCAAGCTAAGTGCCTCTGCCTCTTTCCCCCTCTTCCTCTCTCCTCCCTGCCTCCACCTCCTTTACTTCCTGGTTCCCTCCTCCTGCCAGGTGCTTTGGCTGGCCTGATTGACATTGCTGCTGATTGGATGAACGACCTGAAGGAGGGCGTGTGTCTGAGCGCCATGTGGTTAAACCGCGAGCAGTGCTGCTGGACGTCCAATGAGACCACCTTCGCTGAGCGGGACAAGTGTCCTCAGTGGAAGAACTGGGCTGAGCTAATACTGGGGCAGGCAGAGGTAGCTGACACAGGAACATGCTGGGGGACAACTGTACATTCACATTATCTATATCAAAGGCTTTATTGTCAAATGCACAAGAGCTACAATGTAGTGTTGGCAATGGAAAGGCCCGGGCTCTTCCAACAATGCAACGTAAACACACATTAACATTAACAATGAAAATAGTGCAAGAAAAAGACATAGGAAAAGAATAGTGCAAGAGAATGTTACAAGTGGCCAATGTGCAAGTAAATGCAGAAATAAGTAAACTATTGACATGATGTAGAATAAGATAAAAACAGACTATTAAAATAATGAACTCCTTTTTGGGCTTCCACATTGCACATCCATAAATATTAAACAAATGATTTTTGGGACTATTGAGTGTAGCTGCTAAAAAAGTAATTACAAAGAAATGACTTGAGCCAGACACCACATCCACAGAGGGCTGGCATGATATCATTCATCAAATCTTTGTAGGGGAACAAAACATGTTATTCATGAGGCTTCAGGAAATGAATTTTGTGGGCAGCATCCTTCCCTTTGCTGGTAGGCTACCAAAGTAATGCAGGAAGTATTGATTGTGATTTAATTGCAATAAACTCCCATGTTAAAAAACAAGCATAAAAAATAATGAGTGAGCAAAATGTAAAACAGTGTAAAAAGATAATTCTATGCAGACACACATGCCTTGTTTCAGACGTGCTCTCAGTCACATCCACACATTATGTGCGTGATCCTCCTAAGATTCTCACGGTGTCGCCTCTCTTCCTTCCTCTGCAGGGGCCCGGCTCGTACATCATGAACTACTTCATGTACACTTACTGGGCGCTGTCCTTCGCCACCCTGGCCGTCTGTCTGGTCAAAGTGTTCGCTCCCTACGCCTGCGGCTCGGGGATCCCTGAGGTGAGGAGAATATCTCTTACTGTACGAAACACTTTACCTGAGGTGAGGAGAATATCTCTTACGAAACACTTTACCTGAGGTGAGGAGAATATCTCTTACGAAACACTTTACCTGAGGTGAGGAGAATATCTCTTACTGTACGAAACACTTTACCTGAGGTGAGGAGAATATCTCTTACTGTACGAAACACTTTACCTGAGGTGAGGAGAATATCTCTTACTGTACGAAACACTTTACCTGAGGTGAGGAGAATATCTCTTACTGTACGAAACACTTTACCTGAGGTGAGGAGAATATCTCTTACTGTACGAAACACTTTACCTGAGGTGAGGAGAATATCTCTTACTGTACGAAACACTTTACCTGAGGTGAGGAGAATATCTCTTACTGTACGAAACACTTTACCTGAGGTGAGGAGAATATCTCTTACTGTACGAAACACTTTACCTGAGGTGAGGAGAATATCTCTTACTGTACGAAACACTTTACCTGAGGTGAGGAGAATATCTCTTACTGTACGAAACACTTTACCTGAGGTGAGGAGAATATCTCTTACTGTACGAAACACTTTACCTGAGGTGAGGAGAATATCTCTTACTGTACGAAACACTTTACCTGAGGTGAGGAGAATATCTCTTACTGTACGAAACACTTTACCTGAGGTGAGGAGAATATCTCTTACTGTACGAAACACTTTACCTGAGGTGAGGAGAATATCTCTTACTGTACGAAACACTTTACCTGAGGTGAGGAGAACCAGCTGCATGCAGGCAGGGCTAGTTTTGAAACCTCTGGGTGCTGCATTGAAGTTCTCAAAGGGAACTCCAACATCCAAGAGATTTTTGACAGTTATTCAATTTGTAAAAGATGTAAGCTCATAGCCTGAAGTTGTATCCAGCTAATGAGGTCAGCAGCTGTCTCTTTTTGTCGTTCCTCTCTCTGTTTCAGAGCGAGTGATTGTGCTTTTGTAGGATTTCTGCAGATTATCGACGTTCCGTTTTATCCCTCGGCTCTCATTTTCTCACGTCCGATCAATTTGCATCAGGATTAAGAAACTGGAAGTGGCACATTAAATAGAATGCCTTGTGAATGCCTTACTCGGCAAAACGCAATGTAATGTTTTCATTCGTATGCGTTCCCTTTTATGTTTTGAAGTGGCGTCAAATTGTTAATTCAGTGGGGAGCAGGGAGGTTTGACCACACTGTGAAAAAAGCTATTTTCACGTGAGCCCCCTCTGAGCTTTCAACATTTCATTTTGTTGTTGCCATGAGAACAAGAAAGCTGGAACTGCATTGTATAGCCCAATATATATTATGTTTATAATTGTATATACCAATTGTGTGTAGTGAAAAATGACTTAAAAGATGGTGACAAAAGGAGAATAAAGGAAACGATTTGGAGGTAGAGAAGCAGCCTAAGCAAAAAAAAAAAGTAATTCTTGATTGATTGATAGATAATGAATTCTTATTTCCTTCTTAATGTTCTGTATTTGATCAAGTGTTCAATACAGTCACATCGAGGTATAACACAGGCCTTCGTGTCACAAAGCTTCTCATGGAGAAATATGATGTGATATAAATCCATAACTCCTCTCTCCCCAGATAAAGACTATCCTCAGTGGGTTTATTATCCGGGGCTACCTGGGGAAGTGGACCCTGTTGATAAAGACCGTCACTCTGGTGCTGGCGGTGGCGTCGGGGCTCAGCCTGGGGAAGGAGGGCCCGCTGGTGCACGTGGCCTGCTGCTGCGGGAACATCTTCTCCTACCTCTTCCCCAAGTACAGCAAGAACGAGGCAAAGAAACGAGAGGTGAGGGACAAGACATTTAACTCATTGTTTTTAGTTATGTTTCAGTCATTTTCGGATATGCTTAGATGCCTTTAAGTATCAGAATAACTTTATTAGTCCCACAGAGGGGACATTTTCATTGTTACAGCAGAAAAGAGCCAAAGACAGCTTGATGTTACCTAATAAGCGTTAAGCCCCCCCTTGTGTTCTGTTATCATGAATAATATGACTGTGTGTTTTTAAGATCAGCTGAGGTGCGTTTGTTTTGTTTCCCAGGTTCTCTCTGCTGCGTCGGCAGCCGGGGTGTCTGTTGCTTTTGGAGCCCCGATTGGAGGAGTGCTCTTCAGCTTGGAGGAGGTAAAACACACCAGAAGCGCCTGTTGAAGGTCACCTATTGTGCAAAATCCACTTTTGCATGTCCTTTATACATCAACATCTGAAAGTTTCAGGAAAAAGATTCTCTCACTTTTTGTCCTGATCCATTTCTATAAAAACCTGTCTGAAAATGAGCTGATCAGATTTTGGCCACTTTGTGATGTCATAACGATTGTTTGGCTTGTGTAACCATTAGCCAATCACTAACCAAGGTAACCCCCCCCCAACCCTCCTAGAGCACCATTGTGTTCTTTCTAACCAAATGTCTCTCAGAGGGACGTGGGGAGGGGCTCCTTATTTTTCATCTAAAGTAACAGACAGAGAATCAGCACTTTGGAAACAGGGCTGAAACAGAGGGGATTATGGGTAATGCAATGATGTGTTTGGTATTTGGAGCCCTATAATAAAGTAATGAAAAACAGTATAATAGGGGACCTTTAAGCTTTTCTTTCAAGCTTAAAATCCCAATGCTCAGTGTTAAAGACAGAATAATGAATACAATGAAACGCCTTCCTCCAGGTGAGCTACTACTTCCCTCTCAAGACGTTGTGGCGCTCCTTCTTCGCGGCCCTGGTGGCTGCCTTCGTCCTGCGCTCCATCAACCCATTTGGGAACAGCCGTCTGGTGCTGTTCTACGTGGAGTACCACACTCCCTGGTACCTGTTCGAGCTCATCCCCTTCATCCTGCTGGGGGTGTTCGGAGGCCTCTGGGGAGCCTTCTTCATCCGGGCCAACATCGCCTGGTGCCGGCGGCGCAAGTCCACGCGCTTCGGCAAGTAGTCTGTCTTAAATTTTAAATGTGGATATGTCAGCCCGGCCGGGTGGAGGTAGATGTTTGATATGATTGGCTGTCTGGGAGATGAAAAGGTTCACGATGACAGCTTTATCGTCGGAGTAGAGAGATGGATTACTAAATTCTCTCGCAAGCAGCTATTTAAAAACAATAAAGAGACAGTTCACCTTATTATTGAAAAATATCTTCCTCTTACCTGCAGTGATGTATCAATCTAGGTTGTTTTGGTTGTCGAGTGTTGGAAATATTGGCAGTAAAGTGCTATCTCTTGATTAAAATGGACCGACATTCAGATTCAGAATACTTTATTGTCCATTACATTTACATATGATGGAAACGTGTCTTAAACTGATAACATTTCACTCACCATACATGGCACAACATACAATTAATACACTCAAAAATAGCGAATTGGCATCATAAAGTGACTAAGTAACAGAGTGGATTGTTCTTCCACTCCCTTCAGTCCATTAACACTAGAACCGCCAACGGGTACATTTTACCCGCAGCTGTTTTTTGATTGTATGTAACTTTTTTTCAATAACATATTAAAGTCTCCCAGTCCGTGACTTTTCCTGAAAGTGTGTTATGTAGCACCTTCTGTTGTTAAAAATTGTCAATATGAAGTCAGATTGAAAAAATCGCCAAAAAAAATGCCATTTATACCTATATCCGCCAGCGGGTAATATTTACCTCATAGAAAATGCAGCGTAAACATGACGTGTTGCTATAGCAACGCCTTTTGTCTACTGCGGTTCCTTATAGATAGAGAGATAGATTGAGTCTAACAACAAGCGTTTAAATCAGCACTGGTAGCGATATTTTATACTTCATGTTATCTGCACAAACGATATCATATGAAAAGCTGAGAGTCCACAGATTCTATTGGTATACGTTTCATCCCTGTGCGATCAAAACTCACTGTTCTGTATGATAAATAAAAGAACATTGTACCTTGAAAATCAATATACATTTTACCCGTTGGCGGTTTTAGGTATACAGCGACCTCTGGCGGTTCTAGTGTTATAACATCAGTTGTATCAAAAAATCTAATAATCTTACTAAACATTAAAATGAGGTGTTGGTGGCAGAAGAAGGATCCTTGAGGCTTGGAAAGGGGGAGTCTTTGTTAAACGAATATTTGAAAAAGTACAGCTGTCATGCTTTAAGACTCCTACATCCTGACATGTTGCATCTCCCCTCTCTTCAGGAAAGTACCCGGTGTTGGAGGTGATCTTGGTAACGGCCGTCACCGCTGTGTTTGCTTTCCCCAACCCGTACACGCGTCAGAACACCAGCGAGTTGATAAAGGAGCTGTTCACAGACTGCGGCCCGCTGGAGTCCTCGCAGCTCTGCCAGTACCGCAGCCAGATGAACGGCAGCAAGGCGTTTAACGACAACCCCAACCGCCCCGCGGGGCCCGGGGTCTACGCCGCCATTTGGCAGCTCTGCCTGGCCCTCGTCTTCAAGATCATCATGACCATATTCACCTTTGGACTCAAGGTGAGCCCTCGAGGGGTTGATGGCACGTAAGCAAAGAAGTACAGTAAAGCAAAGAAGTAAATTATTTATTATACCTAAAAATAACAACAAATACAAAAAAATAACCCTAAAAAAAGTCAAATAAAAGCAATATTCTTTCAGTCACAGTTGCTTACAAATACTGAAACATAAATCCAGAACACAATCAAAAGTCAACTTCATACTGTCAAATGTTTACCTAACCCTAAACCCACTTCCTGTTCCCCCCCCCCCCCCCTCAGGTACCGTCGGGGCTGTTCATCCCCAGCATGGCCATCGGGGCGATCGCAGGGCGGATCGTTGGCATCGCCGTGGAGCAGCTGGCGTATTATCACCACGACTGGTTCCTGTTCAAAGAGTGGTGCGAGGTGGGGGCCGACTGCATCACGCCGGGGCTCTACGCCATGGTGGGGGCCGCCGCATGTCTGGGTGAGTCAGCGGAAAACTGAGTGATCGTGCAAGTTTGTGTCTGGATGTTATTTTCTTACCCTTCTATCTCTCCAGGCGGTGTGACCCGTATGACCGTCTCTCTGGTGGTCATCGTGTTCGAGCTGACGGGGGGGTTGGAGTACATCGTCCCCCTCATGGCCGCCGTCATGACCAGCAAGTGGGTGGGCGACGCGTTTGGTCGCCAGGGAATCTACGAGGCGCACATCCGTCTGAACGGTTACCCCTTCCTGGACGCCAAAGAGGAGTTCACCCACGTGACGCTGGCCAGTGACGTGATGCGGCCGCGGCGCAGCGACCCCCCCGCTCGCCGTGCTGACGCAGGACGACCTGACGGTGGAGGAGCTGCAGAGCACCATCAACGAGACCAGCTATAACGGTTTCCCTGTCATCGTGTCCAAGGAGTCCCAGAGGCTGGTGGGCTTCGCTCTGCGCAGGGACATCACCATCGCTATAGGTAACAAACTCTCTTTGACTCTCATTTCAGTGGAAGTGTCAGAACAGAAAAGGGTACACGGATTTTGAAATCTTCGTGTTGTCTTCAAATCAATTGTTCCTGTTTTGACTGTTTATAAAGCATGTAGACTATATCATCACCCAAAATTGATTACCCTGAACGTTAAGTATAATTCAACTGAAAAACCAATAAAAGAAATAATTAAAACAATTTTTTTTTTTTAAATAATAATAATCGTTTTATTGAAATTAAAATACGATTAATTGCACAGCCCTAGCACATAATGCCATTTCATTTGAATACACACATAATTCAATGGAAGTTGTGATATATGTTTCTTTTGTGGTAATTAGATGCAATAACCCATTATTCCAACAGGAAGTTTAAGTAAGACGTTGAACTCAAAATGGTTCTGAATGTGTAATAACTTTTTTAAATATTTTAATTATAATGTATTTTCCTGTTCCTTTCTCCACAGAAAACGCTCGTCGTAAGCAGGAGGGCATCATGCTGAACTCCAGGGTTTACTTCACGCAGCACGCCCCCACCCTGCCGGCCGACAGCCCGCGACCCCTCAAGCTGCGCTCCATCCTGGACATGAGCCCCTTCACCGTCACCGACCACACCCCCATGGAGATCGTGGTGGACATCTTCAGGAAGCTGGGCCTGCGCCAGTGCCTGGTCACTCACAACGGGTAAGTAGGAAATGAAATATTGTGAGGAAGGATGTGTTGTAAGGACAGAAGGAGAGTCCTTCTCGCGTCCTTCTTCCTGGTTCTGTTTGACTCGCCCGTCTGAAGTCAACACATGTAAACACTGCCGTTGTTACATGGGCTCTGAAATCTGGGACCCTCCCTGTAATCTGCATGGCCTAACGCTGTGCTGCATCTCCTTTACCCCCCACTGAGCAATAACAGATGTTCTCCTGCTGAGGAAACTAACTACAGCTGCATAACAGGTATCATGTCGGGAAGCAGTCAATAAAGGCACTTTGTGTGTGCTCTGAAGAGAGAGAGCCCCCTGCTGGTGTGATGTATGAATAACAAGAAGCATTGTGTTTAATATCCCTCGATTTACAGATCTCTTCTCTCAGTTTGCTGTGAGAGGAGCTGTGCAGCAGTGTTTGTTTTCAACATCTCATATTTTAAAGGATACAGCTGGCATTGTTCTATATGTGTAGTTCATGTTTACAAAGCTCATGAAAGTAGGTCAAACGTTATATCGGGGTTTTTTTTTTCTTAGCACTGTTTTAATTGGGGACTATTTAAAAAAATGCATTAATACACATTTGTTGCTGCAGGAAGTATAGACAGCATACATTAGATGGACTTACAATAGACTACATGTTTATTATAATGATGTGACACCCACTACAGACACTTTCCATCATAACTTGTTTGTTTGTGTCATTTAAGTTGTTAAATCTTAATTCCTACTTGATGTTATCGTTGAGTTATCTGTTTATTATTTGAAGTTACACCCTGTTATGTATGTTGTTGTGCTGCTGCTGTCTGTTCTCTCTGTCTCTCTTCTGTTTTTAGTTTTGAATGTATTTGTTGTTGTTTATGTTGTTTTTGGGCAGTTTACCGAGTAACGGGTGTGTGTTTCAGGAATGTTTTGGGCATCATCACAAAGAAGAATATATTAGAGCATCTGGAGGAGCTCAAGCAGAACACGGAGCCCCTGGTGACTAGCCCCGCCCCTTTACACATGTGACCCCTTACACACTCTTCGCACCTGTCTCTTAGGCTCCGCCTCTTACGAGGGCTGCATGAAACTTGGTGTGAAAGAATGTTGACAGTTCCCGGCTAAGCATTAAGCCTTCCTCCTCCTCTTGTTCTTCTTGTACTCACTGTTGGCACTGTGTTTGTTTGTGGGTACAGTTTGATGTGGAGTTTCCTCCAACGCCTCATCCTAGAGAAACATCTGTAGAAACACCATCTTCATCTTCATCACCTGTGGCGGCTTTTTATGAGTTTTGACGTCAAATAAGTGCTTTTTTTTTCTGGGTCCTGTAATGTCGGACCTCTTTGGTAACTGTCACCTACACCCCTCTTGAGCCCCTTTCAGACGTGTGATCCATTACGGGAATATGCTGGATATTTAACGTGTTCATGTTAAAAGTGATTCTACCATCAAAGTATTGAAGCACTCCCTTACCACCAGGTAGGATCTTGTAACATGTCCGTAAAGATTCTTAGGCTTAGCTCAGGGGATTTTAAATGGGTGCCTTCTTCCAAACTTTAAATTTCAACTACATCAAGGTCAAAAAAGATCTTTGATGCGTTACTTTTTAGCCACTTTAATATATTGTTAATTACTTTTAATGTTAGAAAAAAGGGAAACATTTGTGTTCGTAGATATTCCTCTACAATGCGAACATTTGTGAGATGTAATAAACCCAAACTCTTCGACTCACTCCCCAATCTATATCAAAACCTAGCTTAGCAGAAGCCAGCAGTACCTGCCTCCATGTCTGAAAGGGTCGGTAGATTCCCAGAATGCAGCTGTGCATCCCTGCGTCTGCCCCCTGTGGCGCTGCTTCGCGTTGTCATGCTCGCACCTTGATAAGATGTTCATCACATTGCTCCTCTGCAGTCACTACATAGCAGCTGATGGTTTGATTTGGAGCACATGCTGTACAGTTTCTCAGCATGTGTGCAGTCATGTAACCATGATGCCTGTTAAGTGTTTCCCACCTCCCTCTCACAACAATTACTTTAACAATACACCCACCCTCGATATTCTACCCTCATTAACGTGTGCTTTTTTCTTCTGTTTTAAACCCCTCCCTCTCGACCCCACCGTTTCCCTGGGTCTCCACAGAGCGAAGACATCAGACCGTAACAACCACTTGGCGAGTAGCTAGGACTCTGTTTCAATATCCTTAGTGGGTGGTGTGTGTTATCAGCAGGGAGGGGGGGTATCTCCCCTCATTCTGTAGTGCAGTGTGTTGATTGCTGCCGGTAGAGCTGTAGTTAGCGTGTGGTGATAAAAAGACCTTGATGAAGTCATTACTAATCCTGTTATTTAACCTGCCAATGTTTCCTCTTAGCCAGCTGTGTCCGTGGGCAGGAAACTCAATGTGTCTTATAAACAAAATGGATGCTCTTTTGAGTACTGAGAGCATATTTAGCACACACATTATCAAGGAATTATTGTATAAATATTGACCTACAGCTCACAATGCATATATTAATAATGACTTAAGGAGCCAAAGTGTGTCCAGGTTTAACTTCAGTAAGGCTGCAATTCAATAATTATTTAAATGATAGATAACTGCAGTTTCTTGAGTGAAAAGTGTTCATCCTCATTGCTCAAACTACAAGTAGATGTCTTTAAAGGTCTTGTTGTGTAAGTCCTAAACCAAAAGATACTAACTTAAAATGATATATTTGACAGGCTGAAAACAACCTTTTTATGCCATCATTCAAACAATTTATCAACCAATCAAAGTAGCTTCCATGTCAGAGTTCCAGTTATCACTTATCAAGACGTCTCTGGACACCGCTGGCTCACAGGGAACATTCACTAACTGAATATTTAGAAACGTCTGAGTCAGACCCGGTCTCATTATAGTTGGGTCCATCAGGTTAATCTACTCTCACGTAGAGGGAGAAGAAGGATCCGTCAAAGGAGTCAGAAGTTGCTCACGTCACTATGGAAATGTTGATTGTCCCACCATGTATTTTAACTAGAAAATAAGTCTTAGTAAAGCTCCTTTCATATACATAGAATTAACATAGAATTGGGATAGAATACCATCATTAATGTAAAATGACAATGAAATAGGGTCTACAGAAAAAAATAATGTATAGAATGTACTTTTCAGCATATTGTTAGGTTTTCTCGTTCTTTTCATTTCTACTCTCCACTTCCTGTTCACTACTTCCTGTCTCCTTGTAGGATCCAGTTGTTCCTTCTCACCAGCTTTTAGGAGCGATGACAAAACAGTGGCGGCAGCGTCTGAAACGACACCCTGCTCTCTGACAGTCGGGTGCTGTTTCAGACCTGGTTCCTCACTTCCTGTCCTCCTGCTGACTTTTATCTCCTCAGGGACTCATGTTTTTGTTGGCTTGCTAATCAACGTCCACAAAATGAATGTGATCATTAACCATAAGAGCCATTAAAAAGCTCCCTGATTGAAGAGTTCCTCGCCAACAAAAACATGACGTTGTTTTCTCTCCTTCACTCCAAACCTCCTCCTCTTCCTCACTTCTCTAAACTTCTTCCTCCTTCCCTTTGTTTCTCTCTGCAGACGGCTTCTTGGTATTATCACAAAAAAAGATATCCTGCGTCACATGGCTCAAATGGCAGACCAAGATCCCGGGTCCATCATGTTCAACTGATCGGCTCCTTCCAGGACGGCCGGGGGGGCGACGACAGCGAGGAGGAAGTGCACCTCCTGGACGGCTCCAATCGCTGACATTCGGACCCCGTTTTGTTTCCATGTTTAGTTTCCAGCTTTGTAGAACCTGGCGGACGGAGCGTGCCCTCCACAGAGACTTGCAGGCCATGAGAGGGAGAGGAAACGTGATAAAAGACTTTGTTGTTATCATAGCGGCTGCTGAAAGCACACACACACACACGAGGAATGCACTTTCTACACACACATCGCAACACTTTTGCACTTGCAGACACCTCACACCTGCATGCTCTTCACCTGTAACACACACACACCCCTCTGCACCCCCCACGTGCCTCACCCGTCCTGTGTCCTTTCGCCTGGCTGGGGGTCAAAGGTCAGAATGAACCGCCGCTGAGGGACGCGATGAGAAACCTCGACACCTCCAGGCTTCTAAGAATATAACTCACTTTCCTCACACCCCCCCCCGCACACACACATGTCCGTCCTGCAGAGAAATACATTGTTAACCTGTGATTTAAATGTGTGTGTGTGTGTGTTTTACCGCCACTACATTCCAGCACCTGCTCCTCACCCCCAAACGTGGCGTTGTGCATGGCTGCTTCCCCCGGGTGAACGTAAGTCAAAATGAGATGGCTTTAGTGTGTGTGTGTGTGTGTGTGTGTGTGTGTGTGTGTGTGTGTGTGTGTGTGTGTGTGTGTGTGTGTGTGTGTGTGTGTGTGTGTGTGTGTGTGTGTGTGTGTGTGTGTGTGTGTGTGTTTCAAGAACAAAATGTTCAATTTCAGAAGGATAAACGTGGAGAAAAAGACCTTCATGAGTGTTTTCTTTACTGATCCAGCTGTGTGCGAGAATGTAAGTGTGTGTTTGTCGCTGCCGATCAGTGTGAGGCTTAAAGGACAAAAGGAAATCAAATGTCACTAAACCACTAATATGTATTTGATTAGTAAGAACACAAGCCCAATTGTTGTAAAAAATAACCCACCGTAATGTTTTTAATTGTTATTTTGTTACCATAAGTGAAAAACACACACTTTTTGGAATCATAATAATATAAAAAAGAGTTTAACCGCTGTTTCCAAAGACAGGAATGGATTCTTTAACTCAAAATAAGTAATGTAATTTACTGCAAATCACACAAACGGCTCCACCTGCACGCTGCTTTTCGTTACAGCAGGTTGTGCTAAATCTTGTCCGATCTCGCAACATCTGCCAAGTGCCTGGCAAAGGTTGTTTTTTTATGGCTTTCACACCCATAAATGATCCCTAAAAACCCACCTGCTACCCCAACCAACCTTCCCCTCAGAACATATTGTGATCCTTTTACAAACGATGAAGGGAGATGGAGAGACGGTGGTGAAGCGGGGACAAACGGCAGCACTTTACCTGTAGAGTGGTGGCAGGAGTGTGTGTGTGTGAGAGTGTGTGAGGAAGGTCGGGTTCATCCTGTGTTCTTGTGACGGGCAGCAGAGCATCGTCTTTGCCTAACATTGTATTTCATACTGATCTCGATGTTTTTCTCCTTTTTTTTTTTTATTTATGGGTAGTGTCGATAGAGTTGTGCATTATTATGAAGAATTTTATGTATGATTACATTGATTGTTTGATTGTGTAAAAAATGTGTAAAGATTACATTTTGTTTTAAATTAAAAGGAACAAAAAGATTGAAGTTGCACAGGTGGTCGTCGTTGTGCTTTTTTTTGTTTCTCCACAGCTCTGCTTCTCTGAATTCTTCACCGTTTACATAATGGTGCATTTCCACTGCAGGACCTCGTACGGTGTAGTTAGGCCTTGGTAGGCCAGGCACACTTTATGCCGCGTTTCCATTACAGTTTAGTTGCTGGGGCAGTAACTATAGTAACGCGGAGCCGTGACGTCATCTTCTTCAATACTCAGAGCTCCTCATCTGTTCAGAAACTAGACAAAAGTACAAACCACAGACTGCCTGTGTCATGGCGAATCGCTGGTTTATTTCTATGGTTTATTTATGTCTGTATAGGCCGTTGTTGTGAGCGTGGACGGTCGGAGCATATACAACGTTGGTTAGCCAATCTCCATTCAGAAAACACGCATTTTAAAAGGTGTTTTCGCCTACCGCTCCGCGCTGTAGTGGAAATGCGCCATTATAAAATAGGTGGTCTCGGAGCGCTTGCTAGTGAACTCTGGAGCGGTTCATTGCTGGTGTGAACGCAATCCGCACCAAAACATAGGAAGTGTAGTATTTACGCGTCACAAGAACGCGGATATCTTCAAAATCTTTAGCGAAAGACTCTTTCAAGACATAGTTAGGCTAAGTAAAAATTATCCGTCAACTAGGCCTACATAAAAGTCCACTTGTCTCAGTGGACTTCACAGTTTGTACAGAATATCAGTATGACAATACGACACCCTCTGTCCTTAGACCCTCACATCTACAAGGAAAAACTTCCGAAGAAAACCCACAGTTTAAAGGGAAAATGGGAGAAACTTCAGGGAGAGCAACAGAGGAGGGATCCCTCTCCCAGGACGGACAGACGTGCAATAGATGCCGTGTGTAAATTGAAGAGATAAGCATTTGCAACATAAGTAGTCCAAATGTTTGGAAATGCATGTGTCAGTAAGAACACCTGTCGTCGGTGAAACGCCACTCCTTACGGCAGAACGTCTCTCATTGTGTATGTGCTATAATGTTTTTTAACGGACGTTGTCTGATTATATAATCATATGCGCGGGCCGCTAGTGTCTGTTGATCTCCAGATTAACAGCAGCATGAGAATAACCTGCCGAAAGTGCCGATGCTCCATGGCGGAGGCTCCGGTAGAAATTGCCGGGATTTGCGTTTTTACCCCCTTAATGTCTGACCAATGGTTGAACACAGTGGCGGCTGGTGGAAAATATTTTTGGTGGGGCTGTTGATATAGTGAGTAAAAAAAAAAATTTGGGGGAGAAATTACCCCTTAAATTAGGACTTCTGGTGATGTAATGGCGCGTTTCCAGTGCAGCGCGGAGCTCGCTTTAATGCTGCGTTCAGACCGGACGCGATGCGAATATTCGCTTCGCTCTAAACGCTCCTATCGCATCGCTCTAGTCGCTCGAGTTTCACCGCGGCTGCCAGCTGTGTTTACTCGCATCATTCAAACAAGACGCGCTGGCTCGGGAGCTACAACTACAACAAAATGAACATATTTTACCGCGATTAAATTGTAATACACGTTTCTAAATGATGCCGACGTAACAACATACTGATACCGGTTAGTAAAAACCATGAATTAATGCTTTGACAAGTCTGCAGACAGACGGCAGGAGAAAAACCTTTTAGAATGCTTGTTTTCTGAATGGAGCTTGGCTAAGCTAACGTTATATATGCTCCGACCGTCCACACTCACAACAACGGCCTATACAGACATAAATAAACCAGCGACTGTATTCTCCATGACACAGACAGTCTGTGGTTTGTACTTGTTTAACTTTTGTCTAGTTTCTGAACAGATCGTATCTGTCCCCGGCTGTTTGAAGAGCAAGCATGGGAAACAAAAGACAGCATTTACCTGTTTGCATCCAGCTAGCCATGCCTTTCTGGTGTACCATCTACGTGAGAAGCCTGGTTGATACGTTTTGTCTTTTTCACGAGCTTGCTGTGATATATACAAATCGGGTTGGTCCGGTCCAAGGTCTTTAAAGGGATAGTGGAAATGGAACCTCAAATAGTTTCGTTTTAACTTATATACAAGCATAATTACGTACCAAAACAATCACACCTGATTAAAAATATATAATAATTGCCTTACGCATGTTAGAAGCACTTTATTGCAGCTTCCCCGAAGTTTTTTAGAAACGAAATGTTTCTCAGCCTAACCGGAAGTGACAAACTCAGGAAGACGATACGATAACAAACCATGGCGTCTATGCAGAATGAACGTGGAAGGGCAAATATACCAGACAAAGAAGAAGGATTGTACGAGGTATCCAGTGATGATAGCGAGTCAGAAACATCCTCTCGGCTTTCCTACGAAAATGTCGTTTTAGGAACTGAATCTGAATCCGGTTCAGTAAGCGACGATGGTGAGAATATTGAGCCAGACGATGGACCATTACGTCCTTATTTGTTCGAGCCCGAGCCCGAGGTGATGGTTCACGGCATGGGCAATGGCGAGGATGACCAGGACCAGGCGCCAGATGATGCACCCCTACGCACAAATAATCTTGACTGGTAGGTCCCTAAGCATAGCTCACGCATCTTAAGATCACCTGTAGCCTTTACAAATATTAATCATTGTTAACCAGTTAAGCCCGAAGGTCCCCCCAGTGGACCCCTCCCACCGTTTTTTCTCTCTCACATGTCTCAGGGCTTCTTAACATTTATGAAACTATTAATGTTTCATACCCTTTTAAAGGTAAGAAACTCCGCTAACTGACAATAAGAACAATTGTTAGCTAGAAAAAACACAAGAGTAATACCAAGCCTTTGAATTAGCATTGAGCGAAACAATGCTAACTAATGCTAACGCTTTTTTACACACAACACACGGTAGAAATGCCCTTATTACTATCTTAACTGCACAAACAAGATATACGATTTAAAGCTGAGACTCCACAGATGTAATGTCATCACTGTAAGACCTCGAATTCCTGGAGCTATCAGCCAGAAAAGAGAAAGTAAACAACATCCGGTTCCAAAAATATTACAATAATTACGTCTTACCTTTTTTGATTTGTGATCAAAAGTTGTGTTCAACGGAATAAAAACGCATCTCAAGGTTAATCCAATGTCGTTGTGTCACGTAGAATTTTTCTGTCGCACTACAGCCATACAAAACACATCTATTCACCATAATAAAGGTCGGCTATTCACATGCAAATGCTATTGAATGTCCGCCATTGTTTGTGCCCGTCTTCCTGAGCTCTCGTCATCACCCGAAGATTCCCGACGATTCCCGAAGTATTTCATTTCATTGAGAGGGCGCAGTAAAATTGAAAATAAAATGAAACTAGGCGGATGAAATAAAAAAAAATTGTTTAATATGCTTCTTTTTAATAAAAATACATAAGTTAAACCCAAAATTCGCGGATTTCCACTATCCCTTTAAGTATCAATTTATCTCCCAAACTTCTCCTTTGGAAAGGATTGGAGAGTAGCTCTTGCACGGAATTGGGTGCGGACCGAGGTCCGGCGACTCCACCTGCACACCATTCTCATCCAAATACTGCGTCACCTTGGTCACTCACGAGTCTAAAAAACAACTCACGTCAACGCACGTAAGCAACGTGGGCGCCAAAATATTTGACGGCGCTGATTGGCTGAAATTATGTTTCGGCGACACAGTTTACTATTGAGACTTTTGCAACGTGCTTGTTGCTGCCGTTTGTCTCGGGGGCTCCGCCCGGTAATGATAAACTAATGCCATGGGCAAGGCCAGGCAGGACTTATCAGTAACTTTAGACATCGTAACACAATTTTAAACGAGATTTTATGGTAGATTATACATTTTACTGATACCAATTGTATGATATTTACCTTGTTCATTAAAAATAAAAATAAAAATATATTTTTTAATTAAATTAATTTGTGTATGTGGGAAGAGGTGGGGCGGCGCCCCTAGCACCCCTATGGGCCGGCCGCCACTGGTTGAACAGCATTTCCGTGCACATGACTTGTGTTTAAAGTTTATAGTCCGTTTGAATTTTGCCCGTGTGAACCATGGTGTGAACGCAAACCGAACCTTCTGAAAAATGAAACAATGTAACAAACTGTGGTCTGGTGCGCACCAGAGAGCGGACTATTTATTACAATGTTTCATCCCTGTAAGAACAAGATCTCCATGTTTCCACCCCATCTCGACGTCTTCATCAACAGATACAATGTTCAGTGTTGCTGTTTCTAGGGTCAAGAATGAATGCAGGAGACGTTTTAAAAGCACCTTGTTAACCAACCAAAAGCTCAGGAACAAGTAAGTGGACATTTTAGTAGTGTTTTATTTTCAAACTGTAAATTATTGTTCTTACACTCAATCAAAAATAAACAAGATTAAGTCTCGAAGCTACACACTTATTTGCATCACACTAGGTTTTTTTCCGTCTCAAATAAACGCTTTGATTTTGACCAATATTTGTCAAATCTGTATCATGGAAGTCCCACTATTTAATGGCTATGCAAACAAACACCTATAATCGTGACACTAGCGGTATTTACTTACGGTACCGAGGCGGGCCGGTCGAGAGTCCCAGTCCGCCCATGGTCGTGACCTCCTGTAGGGGGCATCAAAGCTCTACTAATCATTAATTTCACAGCTCTAGTCCATAGTTGATTTACTGCTGCCCCCTTCTGTACCCATACCTCCAGTGCACCTCACTGTGTGGTCTGGTTGTTGTCTTGCTGCTTAGAGACAGCTTAACAGTGCAGTGTCTGTCTGCATCACCATTCGAGTTAACAGTGGATTTACTGTTGGGTGAGGGGGGGGGTGGTGGATTAAGAGAGATTTTGAGCTGAGTCTGGGGGAGGCGATGGGGGCCCTCCACTTCCCCAAACACAGAGTAGTCTTTGTTGAGAGCAGCCTTTGGTTTTCAGAGTTTAAAAGAAGCTCGGAGACACAACAGTGGCTGAGAGAGAGAGAGACTGCTTCATGTCTTCTCCTCGTGTCCCGTTACAGAACATCTATCATTCATGGCCGTCGGAAACCGGACACTTGTCTGTGTGTCTGCTGGCTGGCAAGAGCGGCAAAAACTCATAAATATCACCCTTTTTAACTGCTTCGTTGACAAAGTTATGGAAATGTTTTGTTAAGTATTTTTTATTAAAACAGGGTGTATTTGGTATACTGTAAATGTCCTGGTTGCAAGTGGTATCACAGCTGTTGTACTGGTTAATATATAGACCTTCCTGCATGAACAAAGCAAGCACACTTTCTGTCCTTTTTGCTCTTTTCTCCTGCAAACAGAGACAGACAATGGAAGATATCGAGCTCTGTAAACACCTTGTGTATCGGTTGGCTTAAATAATGTTAGTATCCTATCTTCTATATATATTTATTTTTTGGCAGATTGGCACCGCGTTAAGTAAGCAGAATTAGCTATAAGCAGTTCCTGTTTGCCGTGTACTCATGGAAGAACAGGTCATTATAATCATTACCTTGATACTTCAAAAGTAACTTCAAAAAAGTATTGGAGTTATGAGGATTTTTGTGTATGATTTGTTATAGATTTGGGACTGCAGGGATACATATATACTTCTGGATTGATGTATTTGACTTCTTTTAAAGACAGAAGGGTTTTTAAACTACTTTGTCTAAAGCCCCTCTGAATGAGACTTATCTCAGTTCAAGTTTTAACACGTATGGTTGTAGGAAAAGGAGATGAATTCCCTCGATGAGCCGTGAAGTCATAGTAGATGAAGCTGTGTTTATGTCTGGGCAAAAAAAAAATACCAATGTCTTTTTTAACACAGCACTTTCATTTAATCCACTACAAAAAAAGAGCCATCTTTAAGAGCACCAGTAAAAGCAGAACACGTCCAGCTCCTCTCCAAGCAAAGGAAGAAGGACCTTTCAGTCCCAACGTTCACATGCAGCAAAAATGCAACGGTACTAGTGTAAAGCCTCTGCAGAAGCAAGAAGGTGCCGAGAGCAGGTCGGGAATTAAATAAATTAAAAACGGCACAAAGCGGAGGAAAAGAAACAAAAAATATTTAAATTAAAACTGCTAGCTGAGACACAAAATCACACCACAATGGGTAATACTATTAGAAATATTTCAGTTAAAACACAAAAACTCTACCCAGAGGTGTGTGTGACCCGGTCCTGTAATATACTGTACACACATAGATTAACCTGGCTTACTCGTAGCCCGTACGATCATGAAGTAGTGACCGAGCATGCCTCTCTATTTGAGCAGGACGTTGTTCACTAACAGCAGATCAGCTGTAGCTCTGCAGAAGCTGGATGTGATTCTGGAGCGGATGAAAGAAGCTTAGTGTTCACGGTTTGAGGAAACGGCACGAAGACCAGCTTGAGGCAGTTTTCTGGAGTAAGTCATAAAACCCCTCGCATTGTCAGAAACAAAAAAACCGAAAAGAAATCATCAAATCTGAGCTATGAAAATCACGTGATCCTTTACAATTCGCTGCTTATTACATTAATAATATTGATTACCCCTGCCATGTACATTCAAGCATGAGAGTCCAGAGAGGGAACCCGCTAAAGTGTCTTTTCTCAGTCGCCTACAAAGGTTTCAGGATTGTTTCGTTCAGGAAAGATGGATACAAATGTGATTGTTTATTTGACCTTTGACCTTCAAGTGGAAATGCATAGCAGGATAACTCTTCGCTCCTCAAGGGTTCGTTTGTCTCGTCACACGTGGCTCTCGTAGAACACCTGGCAGGGGGCGGGTTTACTGTCGTCTATGGGTTCGGACTCTGCCTGCTCTACTTCCTGCTCGACTTCCTGCTCCACTTCCTGCTCCACTTCCTGCTCTACTTCCTGCTCTACTGCCTGCTCTACTGCCTGCTTGACTTCCTGCTCTACTTCCTGCTCTACTTCCTGCTCTACTGCTGCCTCAGGCTCCAGCTCCGGCTCCTCCTCCTCCTGTTCCAGAGGAGGGAGTGGAGGTGGGGAAGAGGGGGGGGGCGATGAGGGCGTGGTCTCTGGCTGAGGGGGAGGAGCCTCGATGCTGCAGCAACCTTCGATGGCGAGCTGCGGGTGCACCGACACCTGGATGGCGATGTGCTGCGGCTGCTCGTGGACCGACGAGTTGTCCGAGTCGGCGGCGGGCGATTCGCTGCGCTCCCTCTCTCGCCCTCGCTCCATCTCCCTCTCCTGCAGGATGGTGAACACGTCCCTCGCCCCGATGCTCCTGGTGACGATCTCGCGGCACCCCTCGGGCGACTGTCTGAGGAAGGTGTGTCTCATCTCGTCCACCCCCACCACCTCCAGGATTTCCTCCATGAAGGTGCGGCAGTTCATGATGAGCGGCGGGAGGGGGATGCTGCGCGCCAGCTCCTCGATGTACCGCGCAAACTCCATGGTTTTAAACTGTGTGACCTTGGCCAGCTCCAGCGTCTTGGCCGAGGTGATGATGGGGATCCGCTTGGCGATCTCGAAGGCCTTCTGAAGCTTCTCGGCGCCCTCGGTGCGGAAGAACTCGTTGATGGCTTTCTCCGTCTTCTTCAGGTGGCTGCTCATCATGCAGAGGCGCGTGATGTTCAGGGCCATGATGATGGTGAAGGTCACCAAACACACCACCATGTAGTACACGCCCATGTCGCCGTTAGTGATGACCACACGCAGAGTCACCGTGCAGTTAGAGCTGCCCAGAGCGTTGGACGCCATGCAGGTGTACTTCCCACGGTCTGCAAACTCGATGTTGGTGATGTTGAGGATCCCCGAATCCATCAGCCACCATTTCTCCCCTGCAGAGAGACGGAGGAAAGTCATGAGTAAAACAAACTACCAACAAACTATGATTAATTATAACTTGGGTTGTGTTATTGCAGCTCTTCTCTAATTACAACCTGTATGATGGTATGATTCACTTGCGATTTTCTTCATGTATCATAATAATAATAGATGACATTTGTATAGCGCCTTTCAAAGGACCCATGGTGAACACATGGCGAACAAACAAACACAAGGGGCAAATAATAAAGTAACACATTGAATAAATAGCAGTAGGGGTGGAAGCAGGCTGTGATGGGTTAGGGGTCAAAGGCCATGGTGAACAGGTGAGTTTTTAATGATGACTTGAAGATGTCCAGGGAATTGTACGACTGTTCCACATTATGAGATCTAACCAATTACTTAAGTGAAAAACCAAAGCTATCTAAACGACAGCCAAGTACGAGAAAAAAAGCTACAACCAATCCTTTTCTTTCGGTACCACACATTGCTGACCTGTTATTTAAAAAAAGACATTATGGACTGGTACTGCATAACCCAGTGAACATGCAGTTTGCCCAGTAACTCACAATCAAGGTTTAAATCCTGAAATCCTCTTAATGCATCTGTTCCCCTCCCCGTGTGATCAACAGTGAACTCTCCTCTGCAGTGTTGTTGCAGCTGCTCTCCAATAGGAACTGCTTATTCAGATGTGCTGATGTTGCACCTCTGCACTGACTCTTTTTAAGCTCAAGAGAACACATTGTTTTGGCACTAAAGCAATGGAAAATAACAAGTGTCTTTGAGCAGCGGTTTGTTAACATTTGAAAGCAGCAGTGTCCCCTCTCCATCTGTGCCTTTCTCAACGTTTGGCGCTGAAATGAACAGCCATGTTATGATCAATAGGGTATATTTATATCGGCTTGTGTGTTCAGATAGAAGGGCAGCAGTGACTTTATTATTCGTGCCTTCAATATTTAAACAGGTGGGGCTGCTCTGTGTGCTGACGTTTGTGTAATCAAAGCAAGGACGATCCATTTACATGTTGGAGAGGTTTAAGGGTTGTTTCTCTCACATTACAAAATAAACCATCTTCAAAGTCACAATTAGGTCAAATGTTGAAGCGCACTGTTCAAACCAAGGCGGTGACAGTACACTACCAGAACCTTTGGAAAAGATTTAATTTATGTAAATAGATACAGAGCACCTGCCGAGCAGTGGACACCGGTGGTAGATGTATGAGTGTCGGGTTCATTTGCTTTGTTTATCAGTTCTTATCTAAGTAATAAGGTGGTGATTCTGACTGATAGAGTGATCGAGCTTTATTGTGATGTGACACCCTTTGTGCGGTTCAAAGGGATATCATCTTTATTTAAAGAGACTCTTGGTCCATTATTACAAAAACATACAACACTCAAATATAATAAAAAAGGCAGTTATACCAATGTTTCCACAGTTCCATAGTTTGACATTTAGGGAAATCCGCTTATTTGCTTTCTGTGGGAGAGTTAGATAAGAAGATTGATGCCTCGCTCGTGTCTCTATTTTCAACATAAAGCTGAGGCGGCAGATGGTTAGCTTAGCACAAAGACTTAAAACAGGGGAACTATAAGCATACACCCTTAGGCCTTTTTACTGTAAAAAGACAATATTCCTACAAAGCTGTGTTGAAGGCAAATGAAATGAATATTATACATATGATTTTTTACACATAATAACCCTTAAATAACTGAAATATCCCTCCTTTGCAGCTTCTGTGATGGACCCTAGAGGTCGACCTTCTGCGAGTTCAGCAAAATACAAATGGTAAAAACACATGCATGATATTTGGCTGCTTGTCCTGTTAGGGATTCAAGTGTAATTTAAGTAGTGTCCTTTTAAACAAAGGAGGTAAACCCAGGGTTGTTTTGACATTTGTTCGGATAAGTCAGTCTTTATGCCAGCTATGCTAAGCTAACAGGGCTGCTGGCTGTACTGTACTGTCAACAGTTATTTGTATTTGTATACCTTTGGCTTAATACCGCTCCTGATAAAAATGACAACCCCCAGAGCAGCATTTCATCCACATGCAGCAAAGTCTTGAGGAAAATGATAGACAGATATCACAGAAGGCGTTTGTAAATCCAGAGGTCTGGAGGAGATGATAAAACGATTCCCCCGTCTTCTCCAAGCTCTAATGATTGATTTCCCACACTGGTATCCTCTGGAGGAGATGAATGGGGTTCAGGAAACGCAGCCAGGCCGACAACAACGTCCCGCCCGTCCGCCTTCTCCACTGAGAGATTTCTAATTTTAACCCCAATCACCGGACCATGTGATGCGATTGATGTGCTGCCCAATACTACAAGCAACTTTGTAGGAAGGGGAAAAGGCAGCTTATAAATGCCAGATATCTGCAGAGGAAACAAGAGCAGGCAGGTTGCAGTCACTGCTCTGGAAGTGCTGCCTGCTGTGAGGGAAACATCCTCCTCGCTCATTATATTCCTGTGTGTCGCCCAGGGGAGAATCTCTATGATGGTGCACACACTGCTCTGGGTTTGTGAGTCATAATAACAACACTGCGCTCTGATGGCAGGCTTCAACAGGCCGGCTTAGGAGAAGCATTGTTCCCTTCCTCAGGTGAACCACAGGCTGCATCTCAGGTCGATTAAATGGAATCCTTGCGTCGTTTCCCTGCGTTTAGTCCCTCCCACCAGTTGTTCAGATTTATCACATATTTGTCACTAAATGAAACATGAATTTAAACAAAACACGGTATAAACTGAGGAGTGACTCTCGTGAGTTTCATGTATTTTCTTCACTCCGCTGGGAAACGGCTCTCATGTCAAGAAGCATCAGATCAGTGCATGCACTGCATCGTCCAATCAGTGAGCGATACACAGTAAGGGGGCGGGGCGAGTGTCTGAGGATTTCACCGGAGGATGGTCTGGTGGTTCCTCGGTTATCGCTCCTCGCTCCTCGATCCTCTGGCAGAAATAATAGCTACTCAAGATGGCGCAGACAAATCAACTTCCGGTGAGACCGAGGACCGACGAGCGAGGAAATGAAAATAGTCGACCTGAGACGCAGCCAGTCATCAAAACACAGGCGGAGGAGTCTCGGCTTTAATGAAAATCACTACTGAAAACCTCTTTAAATGGTTTCCTGAATCTAATTATTAAGGAAATAATCACTTCTGTGTTCAGACAAAATGTGAAATAATTATACAAATCTGTTGAGAACCAATCCTGACTTCTCAGCATGAGGGCGTTTTAGAGAAACGTCTGGAACTATGACAAAAAAAACGGTTTCCTGTCTCGCCCTTGAATATACAAAATATCTTTCCCATGTAACAGAAGATAGGATTTGATCACTTAATTCAACATATCTGCAGTCATCTCGAAAAATGTGATTTCCTGTTCTTTGAATGTAGCATGTACATTTTGACACAGTTCTTCTTTTCTCCTAAAAGAGACAAGGTGTACTTCAACCCTTTCTATGATTGGTATTCTACGATGCGCACTGAAACACCTGAGAGTACTGGTGTTTTCCATGCAGGCTCACACACTGGCTGTGCCTTTAAATGATGCACAGCGTCAGGACCCACCACCGTCATATTTCCCAGTGACTAAGCTGAAAACACCTCCAGAGAAGCACATTTGGGTGAGTATCCTTAAGACCTTATCTACGTATTGTATACTACATTAATGCCAGTTATAACACTCTAAATGAAATATCAGTTTCTAGGGATGGGTGATATGTAATGTGATATTAATAGACTGTCCACCAAGGTGAGATCTGGCCAGAGCTATGGGCATTTCTGCATATCTTTGAAGGATTTTTGGACCAAATGTATGAAGTTTTGTTAATTGAATGCACTGGTTTATTCAAAACAAGACATACTGCCACAGAAAACACAGTACAAAATAATAAGTAGTGTGCAGATTTTTGCCCATAACTTGAGTCCTCCGGGTTTATTTCTGCGACACAAACGATTGGCTGAATACAATATGCGACACCTGGAAGTGTCACTGAGCCAGGCAGCGGGCCAATACTACCCTTAATAGCGGATCAAATGGATGTGTGGCCATTTTATAGCGTGTACGCACATCTCATAAATGCCCCCTGGCTATCTTTGAGATTTTGAGATACAGAATGTGAACCATGTTGATACACACTGAGCAGGCTGAGGAGAATTTTCATATCCTGTTGGAAACCGTGCGTGTACTAACTACTAATTCAAGTGTTACAACTATATTATGCACATAAATGTTAACTTTCAGAAGCCATATTCCGAGTGAATAATAACCCAGACACTCCTAGCATTGCTGGTGACAAAGAGAGCAGGGGTTTTAAGTAACGGTACAATCTGTCTTACCATTAGTCTCCGTGTCCAGGCGCTCTCCATGGGAGTTGAACCACTGAACACTGGGGAACGGCTCCCCGGTGATATTGCAATCAATCAGCGCACAGTTCCCCTCACGGGCAATTATCTGGCTCACTTTTGTGAACACAACCGGGCCAAATCCGTCTGTCACATTGCCGCTCTCTGTTTGGTTTGCGTCCGTGTCCACTGATAAGGCCCCGGTGGTGTGAGAGGCGATAAGGGATGCCAGGATCAGGAAAACGTATCCTCCAGCCCACTGCATTTTCTCCAACTGTTGGTGCGTCACCCCGCGGGGGAAGAGACTCTGTCATGCCTCCTGGTTATCCATCCAGCACACTGGCTATCTCTTTGAAGTAGAAGGCAATTTGGTATTCAGCTCTGTGGCTTGAAACACCTCACTAGAAAACAAGAAGGTGAATGACATGTGTTAGTCATAATGCCTCAGGACTTAACAACACAGCAGCACGATACAAGGAAACAGACATTTACATACTATTACAATTACTGAAGACAGCATTATCTGGACCCTCTATCGTACATTTGAACTGGGTTTAACCTCTGTATTTATTTGAGGATTAACTGGTGCTCAAAAGAGTGCTTCAGTAACTTCATTACATATAGGACCAGGTACCTCTGATTTGATAACAATTCATATTCACGGTTCAGGACTTCGTTGGGGTCAGAGACAATGTTGTTGGCCAGCTTCAATATTATGGTAGGCTTGGCTGATTCATATAGTTTCTCACAGTGTTGACCCACAATCTTTGACAAATGCCATCACAAAATTCACAACAGCCCAAGGTAAAATCTTCAAGTAGCTGTTCTTTAATCAACCCACACCAAAGGTTCAAACATATTTAACTTAAACTATATACATTACCTATACTATAAATGGAAGAAATAAAACATGTTCCCCTCCAAAGTCATTGTGTTGTAGATTTATGATTTCACATAATCCATCAGCACTGAAATCATTGCCTGCTGTACTATTGATCTTACATATTGAGCATATTCATGTTCATTCAGTTAAGTAAAATGACTGCATTTAATCTGTTACACAAAGACTAGCTACGTGTTCACAGCTAAAAGCAGCTATAAACATTCACAGTACATGTAGGTATCCAAAACGTGCAATAGAGCTACATTAGGTCATCTGAAACTTAAATTAAAACTAACAGATGTATCCTGTGTTATAAGAGATGCATTTTTTGCTGGATTTGAAGGAAAAACTAAGCCACTGCAACATAACGGAACTGTATGTGGGATCCGTCTAATTCCCTGTTCGCTTCGTTTTTCCCACATACAGCCCCAGAAGATCGCATGTCCGGCTTTTAAATGCACACCGATGATGACATCTTCAAGAATAATAGTTTATTGAATTACATCAGTCATGTCATGTGAAAAAGCTTTGAAGATTTCGTGCAGTTTGATCGCCAGACATTACAAAACAAGGGCGTGGGACACGGCTACGTGCTGGAGGGTTTTACATCACGGCACCCTTTCTATAAATGTGCAAACAATTAAGGTAGCTCTTTCACAATATGACACATTATTTAAGTGTAACTACAGTTAACGAAACATATTATATGAATAAAGTGAATGACGTCAAAGCTGCATTTATGTCGAGGGTTGCGGTAACGTTGCCTCCTGCAAAACGACCAACTTAACGTCGACGTCAGCAGCTCAAACGTTGACGTAAAGCCTATTTAATAAGATATTTTACAGGTTATAAATACATATATGTATACTCACATCATTGTCTGTCGTTGTTAACGTTTAGTGGGGAACACCAGAGGAGTGGATGTCCGTCGTTAGCTGTTTCTCCGCATCTCCATCCTCCCCCTACCGATAATAGTCCGCTATAACCTGCAGATCCAGACTAAAGACTGGAGGAAACATCGCCCAGTGGTGTATGCAGAGCAGGTGGAGCAATTACATGTTTATTAAGACTAAGATGCCCTTGCCCTGTATGAGCACGTGCTGTTGTATTTGCTGTAAAGTGTCTCTACTGTAGGCTATTTTTATTTTATGTACAGCACTTTGGCTCGACCAAAAATCGTTTATAAATATGTTATATAAATAAAACTTGATTTGATTTGAGCATTCATACCAACCCTGAAATGGGACCTTAATTGCATTTCAGTACATTTTAAGAGGACATGTGTATAATATGTCTGTCTTACTGGTAGAACATATAATCAGAGGTGGGAAAAGTAGGCTACTCTGAACTTGTAGGCTACTTGAGTAAAAGTAGAAGTAGCCTACCAGAGTGTAGGAATACTATGTTACAAGTAAAACTCCTGAATTGCAAATCAAGTAAAACTACAAAAATATTAGCATCACAATATACTTTAAGTACCAAAAGTAAAAGTACTCATTCTGCAGATTGGTCCATTTCAAAATATTACAGTACAGTACTTGAGTAAATGTACTTTTCCCCATTGCATAAAATAGATGGATGTTGTTGTCACAGGGGTCCCTATTATTGATATTTCCTCACACCAGTTTAAAGCTGCATCAATGGACTTTTTGGCCACTTATGGGGAGTAAGCACAAGGCATGATAATGTTTTAAGTTGAGAGGGCAACCAAGAGAAATTAGCATCCATTTAGAGTCAACATTCAACAACATTCACTCCTGACGTTAATATGTGCCTGTTACATGCCATAAATGCTCCATAAAGCTACGAAAAGATTGAGATCTAGGTGATAATTTCCTTTGATTTGTCAATACAAGCCACCCCTTTCACATTTCTCTCAGTCATCAGTGCAGCATGCATGCACCAAATCTCAACCCAACAGCTATGCAACATTTTGAGACTTACAATGTTGTTCTTTCTTTCAATATGTCACCCATCTGTATTCCTGACATGTGTCTGTGCAGCCTGGCCTTGAAGCTTCCTGAACAGCCAGCAGCAGCTTGGCAGTTTTCCAGTGTGTCATCAAACACTATACAGAAAAAGACGGCCTTGAAAACCTTGCTTGCATAAAGGTAAAGTGCTAGTGCATTTAATTTGGTTTTGCAGGTAGTGGTTTGAGTGCTTTAAGACGTAGAATATAATGACAGGTAAATGGAAACCCATTTCTTCTGCATTTATGATTATTGAAAGCTAAAAGGTTGGAGTATGAAAAGACGTTAAGGTGGACTTCAGTGTTGTGGATAGAAGCTGCAATATAAATGGGATCAGGGGCCTAAAAAGCAGGAGGGAACATCACACTTCCCATTGAACAAAAAATAATTCCTGGAAGAAATCGAGGCAGAACAGAAGCTCTTCTAAATAAAGACTAGGTCAGGGTTATGTTTGTGTACAGGAGCTGATAAGTGACTGACCTTGAAACCACTGTTAAAGTCTGAAATGGACACTCTGTAACAGGTCAAACAGTCAATAATGCTCCATCTATGTATAGAAATATGGATATTTAAAGTAATGTGTGTGGTTGTGTTTATCACACATTAGCTGTAACATTAAACCGTACACCCCAGCGCGTGCACTACGCTCTGCATCAGCCAAACGACTCGCTGCACCCTCGCTGCGAGGGGGACCCAAGTTCCCATCAGCAAAAACACGTGGGTTTGCTGTCCTGGCTCCAGGATGGTGGAATGAGCTCCCCATTGACATCAGGACGGCAGATAGCTTGCACATCTTCCGGCGCAAACTGAAAACTCATCTCTTTCGACTCCACTTCGAGCGATAGAATTATTAACGAAGCACTTATATACTAATAAAGGACTGGCTTATCTAAAGCCAGTTGAGTAGCACTTGAAATGTTTTTGCTCTATGAAGCCTGATGTACTTATATGATTCTGTTTTCTTCAAGTTGTATTTTGTTGGTCGAACGCACTTATTGTAAGTCGCTTTGGATAAAAGCGTCAGCTAAATGCAATGTAATGTAATGTAATTAACTGTTCTCTAAGCACAGTTTAGAGGTTCTGGTGCTTTCTTTTTAACATTTGTATTGTTATTTTTCTACATTCAATTTCATAACATTTAAAGGTAACTTTCTGTAAGGGTTCCCTCTTTAATACTTGCATTTGACTACTCATATTTAACTTTTACTAGTCAGGACACTAATCTCTTATTAGAGGATTCCAGTACCTTTTCTTCAGTGCTGCAAAAGCCTGATTTTAAAGCCCACAATCTGACCCCATTTTTCTTCACGGATGAATGTTTCAGCTTTACACAAACACTCCTGAGAGCTCAGTCCCTCTGCTCACGAGGTGCCACATATTAACACAACGGGGAGGAAGTCTGTGCCAAGGGAAATACAACAGTGTCCACCAACTCACAGAACGTTCTGATCGCTAACCACGCTGCTGTTTATTCAGGTCATGAGGGCCCAGCAGTTCAACATTTTTAATCTCAATCAGATCCGATCAGATTTTGAAATCCCATGTTTTGTGATCCAGGATCAGACAACTCAGACAGATTTTGTCCCAGTATTTCAAAGCTGGGATCACCCTGATCCAGATTCAGACTTTTCAAGATTACTAGATCCTGAATATCTGTGCTTTAATCCTACCGATCTCCATCTAGTCACGTGGATATGAAAAACAATACAAGGAAGAATAGAATCTGGGGGATGAAACCCTCTTTAATGGTCACACATGCAGAGCACACAGTGACATTTGTTCTCTGCATTTAACCCATCCTAGTACCAGGAGTCTAGTACTAGGAGCAGTGGGCAGCTATTGTACAGCGCCCGCGGAGCAATTGGAGTGTGGGGGGGGTGCCTTGCTCAAGGGCACCACGGCAGGGCAGGAGGTGAACTGGGACCTCTCTAAGTAGCAGTCCACACTCCATATTTTAGGTCTGGTCGGGGACTTGAACCGGCGACCCTAGCTCACAGTCCAAGCCCCTACTGACTGAGCCGCTGCCGGACGACAAGATACCACATTGCAGAGACTTCTATAATGTCTAATTATATATTTTAAATACATATAGGACATTAAATCATAATGGAATTGTAATTTAAAAAAATACTCCCACTAGGGTAACAACAACAAAAACATTCATTCAAAGGCAGCTGGATCACCCAGGCGTGCTTTGAGGAGCTGAATTCTCAGTGAGGTTTCAGTTTGCTGAAGCCGGCACAGCTGTATTTGTTCTTTGGCCAGACGGATCTGCATCTCTGCCCTCTCGGTTTCACGGCTCAGCAGAGTCTCGTAGGCATCGTCCCTCTGCTCTGGTTGTCTAGTGCGCTTGCATTTTCTCTTTCGAGGTGGCTCTTGCAGTGTGTCATCAGGCCTGGCTGAAGGTCCAGCTTCTGGATCCACATGGGTCAGGAGGACCTCGTCTTCAATGGTGTGTGTC